AGTTCTTTGGGTATATGCCAAGGAGTGGTATAATTGGGTCAAATGGTAGGTTCATTTGTAGTTTTTTAAGAGTTCTCCACACTGCTTTCTATAGGGGTTGAAGCAGTTTGCAGCCCCACCAGCAGTGGATGAGTGTTCCCCTTTCCCCACATCCCCTCCAATACTTGGCATCATTTGTTCTCTTGATCATAGCCAGTCTGACTGGGGTGAGGTGAAATCTTAAAGTGGTTTTAATTTGCATTTCCCTGATTATTAGTGATGTTGAACATCTTTTAAGATGTTTCATAGCCATCTTTACTTCTTCTTTTGCAAACGTTCTGTTCAGCTCCTTAGCCCATCTTTCAATTGGGTTGCTTCTTGTTTTGGGTCTCTGTTTTTTAAGTTCGTTATATATTCTGATATAGTTTTTAAAAAAAATTTTCTATTATCTTTATGTGTATGAGTGTATTGCTTGCATGTGTTTAAATGTACACCTGTATTAGTTTTTAAAAAAAATATTCTATTATCTTTATGTGTATGAGTGTATTGCTTGCATGTGTGTAAATGTACCCCTGTTATGCAATACCTGCAGAGGTCAGAAGAGAGCATCAGATTCCCTGGAACTGGAGGTAGGACAGTTGTTAGTTGCTGTGTGGGTACTGAGAATGGAACCCCGGTCCTCTGTAAGAGCCAAGTGCTTTAAACTGCTGAGCCAAGTGCTTTAAACTCTAGTTCCAAGAATATAAACTTTATACTAATGCTTAGCTAGATTCTCAGTCAGCTGGAGGGATGAACCAGAAGACAAGGATTAAAAGTTCTAGGACTAGCCGGGTGTGGTGGCGCATACCTTTAATCCCAGCACTTAGGAGGCAGAGGCAGGCGGATCTCTGTGAGTTCAAGGCCCACCTGGTCTACATAGTGAGTTCCAGGACAGCTGGGGCTACAGGGAGACCCTGTCTCAAAAAGACCCCCCCCCAAAAAAGTTCTAGGACTAGAAAGATGTCTCAGTAGTGAGGAGTGTTTCCTGCTCTTGCAGAGGATCTGAGTTCTGTTCTCAGCACCCATTATCAGGTGGCTTATAACTGCCTGTAACTCCAGCGCCAGGCGATCCGATGCCCTCTTCTGGCCTGAGGGCACATAGCAGACACAGACGTATACACGTAAACATAAAAAAAAAACAACAATGGTTTATTTTCCTCCTGCCCCCACCTCCCAAGTAGTAGAATTCAGTTTTGATGTTGTAACTCCTAATCCACCCCCATCCCACCACCACTATTTTTGGCTTTACCAAAACTTAATATGACAAGAAGGCACTAAAATGTGCAAAACGTGCCTCAAATAATAGAAAAATATCACTATAAAATCCAATAATTTCAGCAACTGCTAATATCAGCCAAGAGCTAACAATACAACCAAGTTAAAAGACTGCATGCTTTATTTCTTCCCACAATAACTTAAATATGTGAGATGGCTCTGAGGGTAAAGGTACTTGAGATTCTCAAGTGCAAGCATGTACCAGCATGATGACCTGAGCTCAATCCCTAGAACCCATGCAAACATGGAAGGAGAGAGCAGGCTTGACAAAGCTGTCCTCTGACCTCCACACACACACCATGGCACCCATGAGTATATGCCCTACCTGCCCCCAAAATAAAAATAAACTTAAAAAGAAAAATGGTCAAGAAGACAATGGAACTAAAGTATGTGAAACCTAACACTGACATACTTCTGCTTTTCCTCCCCAAACTTGCTACTATCATCTATTTGTTCATGACTGTGATATTTACTGTTATTTTAAAGTGAAAGCTAAATGATAATCAGCTTAGCCAACCAAGCCTTTATCAAACTAGATGACAGCGCCAGAAGTGAGGTCAATAATCACTGTGTGCAATTACATGATGACTAGAGGGTTAAGAGTCTCTGCTTTCTGTGAATTGTGTCTATTAGAAGACAGATTAATAGGCCAAAAAAAAAAAAAAAAGTGAGGAGTGAGGAGGTAGTATTTATTTGATCCTCAGCCTGCACAAAGAAAGGGAAGGAGGGAGGAAGAAAGAGAGGTCCTAAATATCACCACCAAAAGACCAGAAGTCTCAGACTCTCTTCATGTATACATATATCCAGATCTTCCTAAAAATAGAAAAACTAAATTATACTATTTTATAATCCCTTTGGCTAGTTTTCCTCCTCTGCATCAATTTGTACACATAGAAATCCCAGCTCTCGGGAGGCAGAGGCAGGCGGACTTCTGTGAGTTCAAGGCCAGCCAACCTGGTCTACATAGTGAGTTCTAGTTCTAGGACAGCTGGGGCTATGGGGAGACGGTGTCTCAAAAAAGGCCAAAAAAAAGAAAAAAAGAAATCACCACTTGGGGGCCAGTGAGATCACTCAGAAAGTAAGGGTGCTTGCCACCAAGCCTGATGATTTATATTCAACCCCCAGGAATCTTATGGTGGAAGGAGAGAATGAACTCCAGCAGGTTGCCCTCTAACTTTTCCACTGTGGTATGGGACATGTGACATGCCCCCTCATATATAAACAAATAGACTTAAAATGCAATTAAAAAAATGTAAATCACAGTTTTTAGTGAGCTCCATGGTATTCACTATTAGACGGATGTACCAACATTTACCTAATGTTCTGTAGCTAAATGCACATTTTAATTTTGCTTTAATTAAAAGAAGCAAAATAAGAATAAAAAAAGAGACAGCTTGAAATGCTGTCAGAGAGAGAGAGAGAGAGAATGCTTAATGTCTTCACGCCTTTACTGTTTCTGCTCTCTGCCTACTGTTATCTAGGTCTCAGTATCACTTTTACTTCTACTGGTATTTACAGTAATCTTCCTGTCTTCAGTCTCTTTTATTCTAAATAACCCTATACAATATTTCTAAAACTTCCTGAAGTAAAATATAATCTACTTGAAAAACAGCTAATCCCAATTATTAAAGAGTAAATATTCCAATTTACTCTTTAATAATTTTGGAATTCAGTTTTGATGTTGTTAACTCCTCATCCACCCCCATCCCACCAACACTATTTTTCTTTCCAACACACACCTCAGTGAACCCCTAATACAGTACTCAATTCTTTGAATAGCCTTCAGCTTTCTATTTGGCTACATACTGTGATCTCCCATTCAAAAGGCACAAAGAATAGTTATTTATAGATGCAGAATCATGGATCTGAAAGGAACCTTAGAGATACTCTAGTCTACTCACTTTATAAATTAGAAACTAACATTCCCCCAAGGGCACACAAAACTCTTGTTCTAGCACTTCTTCCACTATACAGTGCTTCACAAATTCTACTGTGCCCAACAACCTAGACAGTGGTTATTAAAAGCATAGATTTCCAAAGCCCTTCTTGAAAACTGCTGCTCTAGTGATACAGGTTAGGACCAGAAGTCCTATTTTTAACAAGCACTTCAGGATCTAGTAAAGGATCGAGTAGCCAGGTATGGCAGGCACACATAGTCCTAGCATTTGGGAGGCTGAGACAGGAGGACTGTTAATTCAGCCTAAGATGCACAGCAAGAGCCTGTCTTCACAAAACAAACAAAAGAAATAGGGCAATGAAATCAATGTTTCAGGTTATAGGAAATTATACAAAATGAACAATGTAGTAAGTATATTTTAGCCTTGTAAGCACTTAGACCACGATCTGAAAATTTCTTCTTTCATAATGAAACCTCCAAAAGATACTCACTGCTAGGTGGATCTCTGTGAGATCATGGCTAGCCTGATCTACATAGCAAGTTTCAGGTCATCTGGAGCTTCAGGGGGACCCTGTCTCCAAAATTTAAAAAAAAAAAAAAAGATACTTACTGCTACTTGGGCAGAATCCATAAATCTCAGACCAAAATAGTCGCTTTCGATCAAGTCCAGGTGATACATAATCTGATCAAATAGCTCTTGTCCTTTGGCTTTCTTCTGAAATGGCAAGAAAATGAATGAGTGTCTTAAGCAGGAACCCTTATCCTGTTCATCTTGGAAAGTACTTTTAATCTTCCACACCTTTCTTAATTTGGATGTTTCTTTTCCTCCAAAGGGAAGATTCCTAGTAGAAAGTTCTAAAACTAACCAATTACTTCCTGATGTTAATTGACCCTAATTTCATCAACCATGTTTCGTGTTGTACTTTTCATATCTAATATTTCCACTGAGCTCTTTCTATGCAAGCTTTGTTTTTATTTCATAGTGTTAACCTTCTTATATATTTTAGACAATTTATTATGCTGTTCTTTTTATTTCATCTGCCTTTGCCTAAGTACTCTATGCAATGTAGTTTTTATTGTCTTATTTGACTTTTGAGATTCTGTTTGTCTCTGTTCATTTGTTAATATATACTACCCTCTCCAGGCTAAATATAACAACAAAAAAGAACCTAACCCTAAAGTCTATGACTGCTCCATTTAATTCTTAAAGGGGTGGAGGCTGAGGAGGAGCCTAGTGGAGAGAGCTCCAAGAACCACAAAATCACTGTTAATCACATCACTTTCAACCAGTAGCTATTAAGGACAGCAACTCACTCCCACTTCCTAGGGAAGACAGCAGCACAGAAGGAGGTAGTCCTTCCTTAGCATTCGCCACCCCCTAACAGGTTAGGAAGGAATCTAGGCAAGATTTCAGGAATGTGGAATTTTAGAGGTGGAGAACATTTTAGGCAGTGGCACCACGACGTATTCTTAAGGACACATACCAATGGCTGAGTCATTGTTATCATACCCTCAGAGAGCACACACTAATTATCAAGACAACAAAGGGGAGTGGAAATATAGGAACAAAATTACAAGATTGGTGTGAAGAATTGCCTTCCCTCAATTATCTTTCTTTCCATACAAGCCAGTCTGTAGCCTCTCTCTCTTTCTCTCTGTCTGTCTGTCTCTCTCTCTCTCTCTCTCTCTCTCACACACACACACACACACACACACACACACGCACGCATGCGCACACACACAGAGACACACACACACACGGGGAGGGGGGAGACAGAGAGAGAGGGAGGGAGAGAAGGAGGGAGGGAGAAAGAGGGAGAGGGAAATGAAAAGGAGAGACAGACACAAACACAAAGGATGAATCAGCACTCCATATGCAGTACTTGCTATTTTCTTTTCCTTCATGGGATAGTCTTAAGGGAGGAAGCCAGAACTCTTATTGACTTCCTGTCTTGCCCCAAAGGAGCTAAGAAGTCTCATTAAGGAATCTGGGTATGAGCATGATTTTAACTTCCTTCTGGGGTGAACGTGCTCTATATTAAAGATCTATTTCAAATATTGATTAATTTCTTTGATTTATTCAACAAATGGTAACAGAGCTCTTACAATGTATAAGACACTACTCTAACCAACTACACAGGGAAACAAAGCAAGTGAGCGCCTGTTTTCTACCAAAAGAAACTATAATAGTATTAAATGTCATAAAGAACAAGATAAAGGAATAGAGAGTAGGAAATAGTATTCAAATAGGAAGGCTCTTTTTTGATTTTTATTTTTATGTGTATGAGCGTTTTGCCTGCATGTATGTAAATACACTATTATATGTATGTAATGCCCATGGGGGCCAGAAGAGAGTGGTTGATTCCCTAGAACTGGAGTTACAGAAGGCTGTTAGCTGCTATGTGGGTGCTAGGAGCCAAACCTCTGAGTAGCCAGTGCTCTTAACAGCTGAGCCATTTCTCTACCACCACTGTTAATAAATTTAAAAAGAAACTGCAAACTGCTATCACCTAGAAGGAAACAAAATATTTCTGAACTCCTGATCCCCCTGCCCTCATCTCCCAAATGTTGGGATTATGATTGTACACCAGCACAACAAACTTCCATCACCTACTTGAATTCTAAGGTGCATTTCTAGATTCAACTTCATATTCTATCAACATTCCACATTTGTTTCAAAATAGAAAAAGAAACATGGCCTTAAAAATTACTTTCTCCTGCCTGAGCAGCATTTCCTAGGCTGCTGAAACACGGAGCCTGAGATCTAAGAGAGAGAATGGACTTGAGCAAGACAGAACAAGTTTTTCAAGTTATGGAATTGCCCCTCTTTAACAGAGATCAATCTAAGCTAGCCAATAGTGAACACATGACACCTGCAGGTTCCTGAAATAGTGATGTACAATCTAAAAAAAAAAAAAGAGAGAGAGAAATCTCCATATTTAAAAGAGAATTTCTTAAAACAATCTGGCTGCTAGGGAAAACCCAAGCATTTTTTTAAACTTTCACTCAATCTAGTATGCAAAAGAATACAACTAGTACATGAAAATATGTTCAAGAAAATACAGACAAGAACTCAAGGATTAAAGCAGCAAGTTGGAAGGCATGGTGACACAGGTCTTTAATCCCAGCACTTAGGAGGAAGAGGCAGGCAGATAGAGCTCTGAAACTGAAACTAGCCTGGTCTACATAAAGAGTTCCAGGCCAGCTGAGGCTATAAGGAGACTCTGTCTCAAAGAACAAAAAGTAAAAAACAAACAAAAAAAGCAGCAATATAGCACACTGGCTCCAGAAGATATCCAATTCCAACTCAGAAATAAAGTGTGTCCTGGAGACAAGAAAGAAAAACAGGACTTTGAAAATACTGTGGGCGAGTGAACACCTGACTCAGTCCTAATCCTGAAGACCAACAACCTGTAGTGTCAGTCTCAGAAATGGTGTTGTTTATGAGGAGGAGGGGGAAGCCTAAAATGTTTTTAGTAGATGGTCTCTGTTCCATTGTAAATCTTGAGAGGTTTAAATATCATTATGTATTTAAAGGCTTATGGGGAAAATTCATTTTTTACATAATGTAAAATTCAATCCAGCCATTACTGGACAGACATTACGTGTCAGTTGCTAGAGTTAACATGGATATTCTGGCACTCTGCTCTCAAGTAATCGCTAAGAACAAAATTATACACTAGTTTAAACACAAAAAATGTGCTTAGAAGTGCTATTTTTGCGATTTAAGAAATGACTGCAACTTACCTCCAAGAACCACTGACTTCAGGAGATATATTGCAAATTGGGCTCAAAAGAATAAATATAGCTCTTCTAGCCCAGGCAAAAACAAAATGAAGATATGAAGTCTTGATAGCTTTGGTGGGGTTGAAGAAAGAGAAAGACTGATGACAAGCAAGAGTCAAAGACAAAATGGCAAGATCTGCCTAAAATTGCAAAACAGAATTATCACTCTACTGTTAAAAGCCCTTATTAGTCATTATTTACAGATCAGAGTGCAAACTGTAGGCACAAATAAGCCTTTCCTAACTGCCTTTGTTTACTGTTACAGTTCTCACTGTCCATCATTATTCATCTTTATTCTTCCCCATCACCATATCCATGTACACCATATTCCTTTCTCTGCAATCTCATATCATGTTGTGCCTACATTACTATAGCAGTCTCCACCTTCTTTTTCCCTGTACCAAATCAAGCCTATCATCTATGAATTAAACTGTCATTTTTACCATGTTTCCAGACTACAAACAACAATAAAAGAAAAAAGTCAAAAACCTATGTGCAATAAGACAGAAATATACAAAAACTGTTTCATTTTTTAATTTTTTTGGAGGGGAGAGGAAATAAAAAAGCTTTATTGAAATACAATTCATATACTATCCACTCATTAAAAGCATATAATTCAGGCTAGGCATGGTGGTGTACACCTTTAATCCCAGCATGTGGGAGGCAGAGGCAGGTGGAGTTCTATGCAAGGCTAGCGTGGCCTACATAACAAGTTTCAGGCTAGCCAGCTGTACTAGTTACTTTTCTGTTGCTGTGATAGAAACACCATGACCAAGGGAACTTACAAAGGAAGACTTTATTTAGCATATGGTTGGCTCCAAAGAGGCAAGAGTCCATCACAGTGGAGGTGGCTGGAGTAGGAGCAGAAGCTAAGCCCTCACATCTTCAGGCAGGCACAGGAAGCAGAGTGACTAGAAATCTGGCAAGACTTAAGAACTCTGTAAGCCCAACCCCAGTGATGTGCCTTCTCTGGCATGGTGACACCTTCTAAGACCTCCTAAAATAGCGCCACCAACTGGGGACAAAATATTTGAATACCTGAAGCCTATGGGGGATATTCTCATTCAAACCACCACACCAGGGTTATACAGCACAACCCGATCTCAAAAAAAGTATATGATCAATGGATTTTAGTACACACAACAGATTACCAAGGCCAATTTTAAAATATTTTCATTACTTCAAAAAGAAATTCTATACCCCTGAGCCATCACCTTCCATAGCTCTGCCAGCTCCCAGACATCTGTCTCAAGCAACCACTAATTTATCTTTTTATTTGTATAGCTTTTCCTATTGTACACTTTCATAATAGGATCAAAATGTGTGGTTCTTTGTAACTGGTTTCATTCACTAGCAGAACATGTTCAAATCCATCCACGCTGTAACAGGAACCAGTACTTCATTTCTTACATGGCTTAGGACTTCCTAGTTCATGAACGTAATGCTCTAGTCATCTGCTGATGGCCATTTCAGTCATTTTTACCTTTTGGTTTTTGTAAACACTAACACTATAAATATCTGTGAAAATTTTTGTGTAAGTACATTTTTAATTGTCTTAGATATATACTGAAAAGTGGAACCACTGAGGCACATGGTAACTGTGGTCTATTATTTGCATAGTTACAGGATTGTTTTTCAAAGCAGTTATGCTGTTTTTACATTCCCAACCTCAGCATTAAGAGGGTTCTAATTTCTTCATTCTCTCCAATACCTGTTATTATCTGTTGTTTTTATTTGAGATACGAGAAATGGGATGACCACCCAAACCAGCAACTGGTATGGAGTGGAGCCTGCCTGAGCCAATCAACAAGAAGTATGACTGACCAAGCCCTTTGGAGCCCAGATGAGTCCAGATGTTGGACACTGAGGCTTTTACACTGTTGGATCTGGGTTCTGCTTTGATCTGATCCTAACTGTGCTCTAGTTTTTCTTCTTTGAATAAGGATGCACATAACTTTAAAATTTTATTTTACAGGAGCCCATAATTAAGAAACTTTAGTTTTTTGTTTTTTTTTTTTTTAAAGAACTTGAACTTTCAAAGCATTGGAATTTTAAAAGACTGGGACTTTTAAAGTTTTACTATATTAACATCAGATCTTGGAGACAAAAAAGAAAGGAAAGGCTATGGCTTAAATTGATTGTATTTGATAAAGTGTAGTGTCACAATTAGCTTCAGCTGTCAACATTACATAACCCAGAATCACTTAAGAGGGAATCTCAACTGAGGAACTTCCTAGATCAGATTGCCTGTGGCCATGTCTGTGAGGCATTTTCTTGTTTGCTAATTAATGTAGGTCTCAGCTCACCGTGGGTGGTGTTATTCCTAAACACATAGGGCTCGGGCTGTAAAAGAATGCTGAGCAAGCCAGTAGGCAGCATTTCTCCATGGTCTCTGCTTCAGTTTGTGCCTTGAGGTTCCTGCACTGACTTCTGTCAGTGATGGACTACAACCTGGGAGTTATAAGATAAAATAAATCCTTTCCTTCCCAAATTGCTTTTGGTCATGGTGTTCATCACAGCAACAGAAAGTAAACTTGACACACCTGGGAAGAGGGAACCTCAACTAGGGGATTTCCTCTATAAGACTGTCCTGGGAACATGTCTGTGAGGCATTTTCTAAATTGTTGAGTGATATGAGAGGGTCCAGCCCACTGTGAGTGGTACATCCCTGGGGCAGGCTGAGCACAGCCAGAGAAGCAAGCCAGTAAGTAAGCAGCATTCTTCTGTGGTCTGGCCTTCAGCTTCTGCCTATAGGCTCATGCCCTGTTTAAGTTCCTGCCTTGACTTCCTTCAGTGATGGACTGTCACTTGGAAGAGAAGATGAAATAAATCCTTTCCTCTCCAAGTTGGCAGAATTAGAAAGTAACAAGGGCACCACGTAAAACTAAGCTCTCAAATTAACCCCAAAAGCTTTGCAAAGCATTTCAAAGGGAAAATCCAAAAAGAGTTAGAAAATTTTCTCTGATGCCTTTGTCAATTCACTGAAAGGCATTCTCACTTATTCTGTTTGAGAGGAGAGAAAAGGTACTTTAAATCTGTGCTGAGAAGAGAGGTGAGAAGAGGAGAGCAGGCACAAGCAAATGATCATTACAGGTTGGCTCAATGGGTACAGGCACCTGTGCCAAGACTCATGACCTGAGTTGGAGCTGGAGGCCCGACATAGGAGTAGAGAACTGACTTCTGCAAGTTGCCCTCTGACTTCTACATGTATGCTATGCCATGTGCACACAGGTGTGCATGTACACAGATACTAAAACATAATAAAAAATAAATAAAAAAGTAGCCAGATGTGGTAGCACATTGCCTCTAGTCCCAGCACTCAGGAGGCAGAGGCAGGTGGATTTCTCTAAGTTCAAGGCCAGCCTGGTCTACAGAGTGAGTTCCAGGCCAGCTGGGGCTACAGGGAGACCCTGTCTCCAAAAGGCCAAAAAAAAAAGTATTATATTTGAAGAAGAAGCATAAAAATTTGTCATGTTAATTAGTAGAGGTGATAAACATTACCACTGAAGTCTATCCAATGACTTTATAGACATACAAGGGTACCAAGGATCCGAGTGCAACCAATTATGACTAGTAATAATCAGATACATACAGACTAGAGATGCATGTGCCAACATCTCAGGGTTAGTAGCAAAAACAATGAGTATTTCTGTAAGAAACAGTATATTTTAAAATGAAATGGAGATCTTTTTTAAAGGTTAAAAACTCAATTTTATGTCTTACAGGGCTTATACCAAGTTCAATATTGTATAACTGTATTAATTCAACAGCAAACCTAAAAATTTTATAGCCACTTTAGAAAGAGCTCTATCTTTGCTCTGGAAACTGTTATTGAGCATACTAAAGCTGTAATTATATGCTTCTTCTAAAAAAATAAAAAATATTAAAAAAGTAAAATGATCATTACTATTGGCATATATTATTTAAAGTTCATAGATTATTTAAATTACCCTATTTAATCACAGAAAATCTCTTACCTGAGCAATCATCTTAGATCAATGTTGACTAGCTATAATCATTAATGATTCTAATCCTGATAGGACATTGACATATACTTCATTTCACCTCCAAACTCAATTGTAAATCTTTCAAAATCATACCATACTGCCTGAAAAACTAAATTGGAAAAGGGTGGAGTGGAATCTTTTGTTTTGTTTTAAAGAAATTAAACTACCTCTGGTGTTTTCATCTAGTAAGATAGTTTAACTGGTAGACCAGTGGCCATTTTATATCTATGCAAGTATCTAGAATTTAGGTTACTAACTCTAAGATTTTACCTGCAGGGCTAAAAAGTCCATTGTTCTTGTTCCACAGGAGCTAAGTCTAAAACTGTGACTATGCCACTGTAGTTGTCCCCCATCAGGATAATAGCATCTAGCATGTCTAGACCTTATCACAGCATCGCATCTGGTGTACTGTGCATTCCTACTGAGGAAACCATTCTAGGTCAGTCATTAAACATTTGTTCTGCTTCTTTAAGGCCTAGTGCTGTTTCTCCTCCACACCACACTGACCTTAAAAAAAAAAAAAAAAAAATTCTCCACAAATTCTCTTAGTATTGGCTTATCCGTCAACAACTCTAAGACTTCATACTTTAAACACTAGGTAGCAAATGTTTTTCTAGATTCATACAGCAACCTCAGGCTTTCACCATGCATCTAATGATACTTTAATGGAAAAAACTCTTAAGATTTTTATCAAACAAATAATAGATAGGAAAGCTATCTTCACAAAGTATCTTATGTTGGAATAGCTTCCCAACCTTCAACAGGCCTTACAGGAAGAAAACTTAGATGTTTTAAAGGTTTTTTTTTTTTTTTTTTTCCTGAGACAGGGTCTCCCTGTAGCCCCAGCTGGAACTTGCTACATTGACCAGGCTGGCCTTGAACTCCCAGAGATCTGCTTGCCTCTGCCTCAAAGGCATGCGCCACCACGCCTGGCTTAGTTGCCTTCAAGTTTTATGGAATCAAAGTCTCTAAAAATGTGTGTCCAATGTACAGATAACAAATAGACATAATGATTTAAAACCATTTCTAGAGAGCTGGGTAGGTGGGTACGCCTGTGATCCTAGCACTTGGCAGCCTGAGGCAGGAGTTGTTCTAAGGCAAGTCTAAGATACATAGAAAGACCTTGTCTCAAAACAGACAAACAACCCCCCCCCAAGAAATCCTGATCATAAACTATCAAATTTTTGAGTTTAAAATTTTGAATTTAAGGTCTTCCAGAGTTTATTCAACCACATATTGTAGCAACACATCTAGCTATCACTTTTCCAAAAAGAGTTCCCTAATTAAGTTTTAGGCAAATCAATGGGTTCTAAAACGTCTGTGGGGAGGGTAGACGTTAGCAAATGTCCAATGAAGCTTATGTCAAATCACGTAATTTATGGTTAAGTCTCTGAAAGTAGAACAAAGACATAAGAGATTTGGAATTGGTGAATAGCTCAGAAACTCAAGCCTGATGTGGTAGCACATACCTGTAATCCTACACTTAGGAGGCTAAGCCAGGAGAATCATAAATACAAAGTTGAGTTGAGCTACACTACAGTGAGACCCTGCCTATAAACGCTCGCTCGCTCTCGCTCGCTCTCTCTCTCTCTCTCTCTCTCTCTCATTTAAATTTTCTGGCAACTACCACTAATTTCAGGGAGAAATGCTATCATTCCAGGTCCTCCTGGTCTAAAGTTACCTGGTGCATGTATCTGAATACATGTTTTTGCCTGATCCATACTAATCCCATGTTTCCTAATCCCCCAGGAGGTCATTATCAGTAGAAAGCACAAGGACAATAATCTTAAAATTTGTAGCTCAGCAAGACCTACATACCGGCAAGTCCACACTAACATCAGTGCCATCCAGAAGGGACACCCGGCATGTGATAATAGACTTGGAATCTCCAGCTGCAGGAATGTGTGTGGCAGCTCGCTGCGCCTCTCGGAGTCGTTCCTTCTCTGCATGTTTTCTCATGGACCGTCGGCCAAGTGTTCTTCGGAGGAAGCTCAGCATTTTTGCCACTATAAAATGGGGAAGGGGCTCATATGAGAAAAAAAGACTCCCCAGAACTTGTAGTCAAATTAATGTTATTATTTAATAATGTCTTATAGATGTTAATATAGATATTAATTTGAAAAAAACAAACAAGGTTACTTTTATTCTTTTATTTCAAAACATACTGTATAAAATATATACAATTTTTATAATCCCAGCACTTGGGAGGCAGAGGCAGGCAGATCTTTGTGAGTTTGAGGCCAGCCTGGTCTACATAATGAGTTCCAGGACAGCTGGGGCTACAAGGAGACCCTATCTCAAA